CAAATTGTCATAGATAATAAGAGTATGACACAAATAATTTAATTTCAGAAAAATTTAATAGTTTTTTTGTCAACATAGGCCCAAATCTAGCTTCAAAAGTTCATTGTCCAAACAACTCATTTGAAACTTATCTAACTAGTGTCAACAACGAATCTATATTTAAAGAACTAAAAATTGATGAACTCGAAAATGCAATAAACTCTCTTAAAATAAACAAGTCTCCAGGTATAGATGACATTTGCAGTAATATCGTCGTCAATTTCTTTTCGGAGATACGCAAACCTATTTTCAAATATTTAAATCATCAATTAAAACTGCAACTGTACCAGATAAATTAAAAGTAGCTAAAATTGTACCTATTTTTAAAACCGGTGAAACATTTCTAATAAACAATTACAGACTAATCTTAATACTTCCAACCTTTTCTAAAATACTTAAACGAATAATCTACAATAAATTATATAAATACCTGATTTAAAACAAATTCTTAAATAAAAAACAATTCGGCTTTCGAGCACAGCACTCAACAGAACATGCAATTTTAGATTTAGTTAATAGCATAAGTTCTTTTAATAAAAAGCAATTTGTATTAGGAACTTTTATAGACCTTTCCAAAGCATTTGACACAATTAATCATGATATCTTATTTAAAAAAATGGAAAAATATGGAATTAAAAATACTAGCCTAAATTGGTTTAAAATTTATCTGTGCAACAGACAACAATGTGTTAGTTCAAACGATAATAAATATTATAATTTACTAAAAATAAAATGCGGAGTTCCCCAAGGTTCCATTCTTGGTTCTCTTTTATTTTTAATTTATATTAACGATCTTCCACAATCACTAAAAAAACTTGCTGCAATTATGTTTGCTGATGATACAAATTTATTTTATTCATCAGCATCAATTGAAAATCTCTTTAAATCTGTGAACGATGACCTTGAGAGTTTAAACAATTGATTAAAAAGTAAATAAATTATCTTTAAATATAGAAAAAACAAAATACATCTTGTTTCATTCCAACCAGCAAAAAAATAAAATACCAGGCATTCTACCATTATTAAAAAATAATAACATAAACTTCGAAAGAACTGAAACTATTAAATTTCTTGGGATAACTATTAACGAAACGATTTCTTGGAAAGCCCATATAAAAACATTAAATACAAAAATATCAAAAAGTATACTTTACAAAGTCGGTATACTTTTTGGTATACTTTACAAAGTCAAACCTATACTTTCCCAGGAGAATCTAAAAATTCTCTGTTTTTCTTATATACAAAGTTACCTAACATATGCTAATATTGCCTGGGGAAGTACAAATAAATCTAAATTAAGTTCATATATACACGCATTAAGATTGATTTATAATAAAAATAAATTCACTCATGCCGATCCTTTACTTAAAAACATGAATGCTTTAAATATCTATCAAATTAATACCTACCAAAATATTTTATTTATGCTCAAATATAAGCTCGGACTTGTCCTAACTCATTTTACTAATAACTTTTTTCAAACCAATACCAACAGATATATCACACGAGGAACAGGAAATTTCACCCTGCCCATTAAAAAAACAAAATTTTCAAGATTTTCAATTGCATACCGTGGCCCCTACTTATACAACAAAATAATATCTCAAAATATAGAACTTACTAAATTAGATAATCTTACTATCCTTAAAAAAAAATTAAAAGATCTCATAATTAACAAAACCAATTTTATCGATATGTATTAAATGTAAAAGAAAATGAATATAATAAAATGTAAAAAGAACAATTTAAGCTATAAAAATAAATAAAGAAATAAAAACATAAATTAAGAAATAATAATAAATACATATAGTTAGAAACTATACATAGTAAAATATTACTGAACAGATGACTTTAAAAAGTCAATGTGTGTTTTATAGATTTACTCTTTAAATTTTTAGTTTATTTTGTATTTTAAAGGTTCTAGATGAAAAGACTTTACTTAGTCTTCTGCGACTTTCCTTACAACTACATAGTACTATTAATATATATTAACATATAGTTTCAACGACAACGATAAGCAAGTCCCTAGTAGCCCTGTGGTGCGACAGGGACTTGCTTGTTGACATATATTTTTTAAATGCATGGGTTAACAGCCAGCACTTTTTATTATAAACTACGAACTTATATGTTTATTATTTTAACTCAATGTCAAACGCGCATGCGTAAAACAGTTATGTTTTTAATTTGGTATCTAAAACACCAAAAAACGCTTGAGTTAAAATTTCTTTTGCAAAGTGATTATTTAAAAAAGCGTATAAATCCAAAAAAGAAACGCTTTTTATTTTGCTTTCAATGGAATATATCTCATGCAATCCAAAGTATTGATATCTTTTGAAACATCTTGAGTACCTTTTAGGTCAACCTAAAACCTCTAAATCAAAGCAGTGCCGATTCGGTGTCGCTTAAAGATGGTTTTAAAATTTGAATATTATTTCATATCCCATAAAATAAAACTCAAATTTAAAAAAAAGTTAATTAAACTTAACATATTATTATTTTATTTACAGATTCCAAAAACTTTTAATTTAAAACATTATGCATTCATAATTTGGTTTTATGTCTATCAAATCGATACTTTTTTTCGTAACAACGCCATAGCAACCGATATATGAAAAAAACATTTGTTTTTTTCATATATCGGTTAATCAATAATGTAAAATAGCTAAAATATCGACATTTTGTTTTTCATAGTAATAAAATTTATTCGAGAGAAGGTTGTTCAACGTGTTTTAGTTTTTGAAATTTTATCATATCAATCATGTTGGTTTATCATATTAATCATGTTGGTTTATCATATTAATCATGTTTGGTCTAATTTGATAGAGTTTACTAGTTTTTTAAATTTAAAAAAAAAAAAAAAAATTCTCAAACGAATTTTGTTACTACGTTTAACATTTATTCCAAATTTTATGTTAAAATGACTGGTATATTTTGAGTAATTATTTCATAAAAATTGTATAACCTTTAATTGGTTTTTTCAAAAAGAAATAATGTATTTATGTTTTAAAAATTAAACTTTACTATAGTTTTACTGAAATTTTGTTATATTTCTTGGGTACCACCCCAAATTCAAATAGTTCGAATTTTGTTATATTAATAGTTTTCTAAGTATATTATGTAAAGTGCTTAAACGTAATTAAAAAGTAACAAACAATAAAGTTGATATGCAATAGAAACAGATTTTATGAACTTATTAAAAAATCGTTTGTCGAAAACCAGATGGTCGTATGTTAATTTTTTGTTTTACTTAGTAATTCAAGGTTTAAATAAAATATTTAAAACTTGTGTTTCTGACAGAACGCTCTTCTGATTATTTCCTAAAGGTCTAATAACTATGTGGCTAAAATTATTGGACACACACAATACTGACTTATAAATATTTTGATGATTAGCAAGAAACATGCGGCGTAGACTTACATTCTAGTGTTTCTTGAATGACGAAATGTCCACAAGAAACGTTAAGAATGAGCAACTTAAAGTAATTATTAGCAAGACATCAAAGTGAAACATGCTATCAAAATAAAAATATTACAATACTACTTGATTAAACCTCAAACTTATGTCTTTTTTACAGTTGCAAAGATATATATATATATATATATATATATATATATATATATATATATATATATATATATATATATATATATATATATTTATGCAGTGGTATTCATAAGAAATAAAACAAATTTTATTTAGAAAATGCTATATATATTTTGTTTTTTTCTGTTTAATGTTTAATGTAATTAAAATTATTTAATTTTGTAATCGTTTATTCGTATCATTATTATCGATTTTAAAAACAAAACCAGTTATCAAAAATATATTTTTATCAGAAATTGATATTTTCTTACACTTTGTTCATTTAAGCGGAAAAACAATTGAAACAATGTTGCCTATTATTTTTTTAGAATTTTGACCAACATTTTTTTTATATTTTCTTTTTTTATCATTTTACTCATGTTATCAAAATATAAAAGAATAATATTTTGGTGATATTTTATTCGAAATATTTTTATTATTTAGGAACAAGTTTTATTAATTACAGGGCCGTCCCGAAGTGACAGATTTTACCAGGCAAAATTGGATGTGTTCTGATTAACTATCATCACAAAAACAGGTAAAGTCGCAAAGGCATCTACTCAAAAAGAGAGAAAAACTTCCATTCAAGAGATTGGATTCAAGAGATTGCATTCAAGAGATTGCATTCAAGAGATTGCATTCAAGAGATTGCATTTAGACATTGAGTCAGCTGTAGTAATAATGTGATTTGGAAATTTTGACCTGTTTTTACACAAATCGTCATCAGACGTAAAATATAGTACAAAAATAAAAAGAAAATAAGGCACCCCACTTTACTACGTCGGTAAAATCGAGTCATATTTTACGCAAAACCTTTATTGAAAATAATACTCTAACCCAGAACGCAACAATAAAGTTTGAAAACCGCACCCTAATTTTATTAAAAGCCATACCAGGGTTTGGCTTAGAATTTGGTTAGGGTATGGCTTTTATAAAAACCGTGACAACGGTATTAAAATAACAACAAACACTTGGAGAACTCTGTTTTAAAAACTATCCAAAAAACGGAATTAAATAATATTAGCTAATTTGAGCTTCTTTTTAATGTCTTCTTTGACTATATATATATATATATATATATATATATATATATATATATATATATATATATATATATATATATATATATATATATATGTATATATATATATATATATATATATATATATATATATATATATATATATATATATATATATATATATATATATATATATATATATATATATATATATATATATATATATATATATATATATATATATATATATATATATATATATAATAAATGTGTTTAAGAAGTATATACAACTAAATAAATAACATTAAGTTAACTAAATAAAAAACGTTATTTTAGTATTAAAACGATTTTTCGGGGAGGATGGATGATTTACATGAGGAATAAGGGAGATGTTTGGGGAAGGAGAGTGTATGTAAAAAGTTAAATAAAAAACAGGAAAGAAGAGAATTGCTCTGTTTTTCCAACTTCTGCGCCGATATATCGTAAAACATCTAATGTTCATATTACATCTTAATATGTTGTTTTTAATGTTAATTAAACTTTAAAAAAACTATTTAGCTTGAATAAATGAATTAAATATTAGCCGATATTTTTTGAAAAGTTTATTTATCGTTAAAAAGTGTTTTTATAAAACGAAATTGTTTTTATAGCAAACATTAAATTATTGTTTAATTGTATTCGGTCCTCCGTGTTAATAACTGCAATAAACGTGATTTTTTGCATATGAACGATTTGTTAAATAAGCCATCTTTCCAGTAATAAATAACTGGGTTGATAAAAGCAGAAAATTTTCCAAACAATGCAGCTAAGTGAAAAAGCCATTTAAAAATTTTAATTGAAGTAAAAGCTGAAAAGAATCCAATTAAAGCGTATGGTGTCCAACACACTACAAAAGATAATACCATTAGTATAAATGATATAAATGCTTTATTTTCCTTTTCTTTATACCGTTTTGTTTCAATATTTTCCTTACCGTAAGTTGCATTAAAATACTTATATTTTGTGCGCATTACATAAGCCGTGTATAAACATGAAACTAATATTATTATGGCGGGAATAAAAAATCCAAAGACTATTAATAAAATTAAAAAAACTTTTTCCATTCTAGTTTTAGGAGAAAAATTAATCGAACATCGAGAACACGTATCTTCAAGAGTGTACGAGGAAAATCCTATAAAAGGCATAATAGCCCAAGTAAATCCATATATCCACGATAATACTCCAATTTTTATGAAAAGTGTTTTGTAATTAATTTTATTACAAAGAACGTATGTACTTAATAGCACCATTCTTGAAAGAGCGATTGTTGTTATCATTGCAATTGTTGTATACGATGTAAAAGCGATAAAAAAAGCAGATAACTTACACAACATTGTAGCAGTATTTATATGTTCTTCAATTAACAGTGATGGTATATACCCTGCTACGCTACGAAATAAGTCACTAAAAGATAAATTAATACACAATATGACGTAGTTGCTTTTGTATTTTTTGTATTTTTTGTAAATAAAATACAACGAAACTGCATTTATAACTGTAGCTATTGTTGAAATTAAAAAGAAACATATTTTTTCGATGTTCATTTTTTTTTACCCAAAAAATCTTTTTAATGATAACTTTGGAACCAAACAACATCAAATTTTGGTGTGTTTTTCAACAAAGTTGTGTAGCTTTATCATTCTTTTTAAAGGTCTCTATTGTTCAGAATCAACATATTGCGACCAAACGCCAATCTGTCTAGCTATCAGTTAACATTTTAGATTAATATCAAACATACGCGTAATATTTACCACTCCATTAAAATTGTCTATTGCACAAAAGTGCAAAAAAAAAGATCATATATAGTAGTTGATTCGTAAAAGATTTTAAGATTCTCATTCTTGAAAAGATCTTGAGATTTTCATTATTAACTAGAAGAGTTAAGGTTCTCATTTCAACTAGTGTTACTAATGACGTCATTTTCTACTAATGACGCGTTTTGTTAGTAATAAAAGTACTTCAAAATTTTTTTTTTTTTTATTGAAACTGTTCATTTCCCAATAAATATAAGAAGTCTAAAATATGACTTTGTCCTCAAATTTGTCCTCAAGATATTTATATTTACGTCACTTAAACATAAAGTAGAATTCTAAAACAGTCACATGTTGACTGTTTCAGGTTTGATGATTAGAATGATTAATGTTTTTTTTAAATATTATATATAAATTTTAGTGTCGATAATCAAAAATATAACTATGTTTAAAATACTGAAGTTTTTCAAGCGTTAATTTAAAAGTTTCGAAAAATAGACAACCTTTTTTTATACCTTAATATGTTTCAGGCATATATTAAACATATATCTATAAGTTTCAGGCAATGTCAAGTCAAATCTGAAATAAGTTCTAAAATAAGTTTTCTAACTAATAGTTCAAGAATTTTAACTAATAGTTCAAGTACTAATATAAAGAATATATCTAAAAATAGTTCTAAAAATAGTTCAACATGCAAATGGATGAAATGGAAGCGCTAAACCAATAAAACGAATAAGTTAAAACGAAATAAATGGACGCAAAGTTTAAAAGTTCTTAACAAAGGCCGGAAAACCAAACAAACTAAAAGTAATTGCTGCCCAGTTCACTTGAAAAGTTTTCAGTATAGTACATTTTTGTTTGCAAAGAAAAACTACATAAATCGCTTTTTGATATTAATACATTTTTTGGGGGGTTATGTTGTATAGGCTGGTTTGGCGTTTAATTATCAAAATATTAAATATTATGAAAATAATGGCAATAATAATAAATGATAACAACAATAAAAACAATAATAACAGTAATAATAATAGTAATAATAATAGTAATAATAACAACAACAAACAACAACAACAATTTAACAAATATTTTATGTTAATCTTTAATTTTTTTCATAATAAAAACTTTTTAAAAATTTTTACTTTATAAGATTTATTGAATAACATTAGATTTCCCCACTTTAAACAATTATTGTTTGTGGCTCTGATATTTGAAAGCTTTTTCTGAGTCATCTGATGTTCCAGGGGCGGATCTACGGGTATCCTGCATTGCCCAGGAATCACCCATAATATTTTAATAATTTTCAAATATATCTTCTTGATAACTTAGAAAAAAGTAAACTTTTAGTATACAAATATATATATATATATATATATATATATATATATATATATATATATATATATATATATATATATATATATATATATATATATATATATATATATATATATATTACGGTATATATACATATACTATAAGTATAACAAAAAAAATCCCAATTGTTTCAGGAATCATTTGACCTGATTATCCGGTAGACGGCAACTGATTATCCGGTAGACAAGATTAAACGTTTCTGCAAAACGTTTAATCGAGATTAAACGTTTTGCAGAAACGTTTAATCTCGATTCTCTTTATGCATAAAATGAATCCTTAACTATTCCAATAAAGTTTTAATTTATCGCAAAAAGCTCTAAAGAAAAGCCCTTATTATTTGAATAAAACTTTAACTATTTGAATAAAGCGAGGTTTATCGAATGTATTTGAAAAAGTTAACTCGGGTGCTTTTAGCAATTTTTATTTAAAAAATTTATTTTCATTTATAATTATGGAATCATTTGTATTAAAAACTAATAAAGACAAGCACATGTCTAAATTTACACTTAAAAGACTAAACTCCGTAATGACCATGAAGAAGGAGTCATAAATAAGTTTCCTGTTTTAAACAAAAAGCTTCCATTTCAGAAATTTTTAAAAATTTCTTAAATGGAAGCTTTTATTTAGGTATGCGGAAATCGTGCTTTACAGAACTGAATTTTGTGCTAAAATTTAAGTTTTAAAGATTTTTCTAACTTTCCTTTCACTTTTTTATTATTTTCTAGACACCTGCAAAATTTCATTGAACATTTTGTTGTATATAGACACCAGCAAAATTTCATTGAATATTTTGTTGCAGGCGCTCTATTTTTTAGTCGCACTGTTGGTACCTAATTTTTCTTTTACCTGTTGTTTTGGGTGACAGAGGAGCAGTTGGGCGACAGAGGAGGAGTTGGGTGACAGAGGAGCAGTTGGGTGACAGAGGAGCAGTTGGGTGACAGAGGGGCAGTTGTTTATTTTGATTTAGAGCTAACTTTTTCAATATAAAATTAACAAACTATTTTTAATGTTTCCCTACCTTTAAATTTTAATCAAAAAATATACATAAATACCTTAACCCTGTGCAGCTATAATGATCCTCAGCGTCTAACGCTATTAATCATCTTATCATAAACAAAATATGCGCCCCCTGGCGAAAAAAATGTTAATGAAATAAACTTCTTTTTTTCCTCTCTTGATACAGTCTTGATACATATCTTAGTTCAGTATATATATATGATCTGAGATTTGAGACTCCCGAAACAATCTGCTGAGTTATTAAGACTGCAAGAGAAGAATTTATTGACATCTGGAACTTTTTTTGCTTGGTATAGATATAGAGAAAAACATTTTGAGCCTTATTTTTCTCAAGATGGTGAGCTAGTCTGTTGTTCCGATATTAATTGCTTAATGTCCATGTTAAAACTTCAACATATACCTAAAAATGGTGACTGTTTATTGATTTCTTGAAAAGAAGTATAAAAGCTGTTTTGCTTCACAATGGGAATAAGTACGCATCAACACCCGTTGGTCATTCAGTGCATTTGAAAGAAACTTATGATAAGTTGGCATTGATCTTGGATAAGTTAAATTACAAGGAATTCGAGTTTTTGGGAATCTTAAAGTAATTTGTACGATACTTGAACAGCAAAGTGATCACACAAAATTTCCCAGTTTTCTTTGTGAGTGGGATAGTCGTGCTAAAACTAAATACTGGAACCAGAAAGTGAGGCCGAAAAGAACATTGAAGTTCGGAGAGAAAAATGTGCACTTTAAGTCTTTGATTGATCCTAAAAAGATCCTTCTACTACCGCTCCGTATCAAACTTGGCATGATGAAGCAGTTTATGAAGACATCGTCAAAAGACAGTGAGACATTTAAATATCTTTCAAGCAAGTTTGTCTGAAGCCAAGCTGAAAGAGGGAGTTTTTGTTGGTCCTGACATATTTTTTCAGGACCAACAACAGAGATTTTAGAAATGTTATTCGTTTGTAAAAACAATTTGTTACAATTTTTTAAAGAGTTTTAAGCATTTTTTAACATAATTTTTTTGTCAATAAGTTTTAAGGAAAAATATTAATTTATATATATATATTAATATTTTATATATATATATATATATATATATATATATATATATATATATATATATATATATATATATATATATATATATATATATATATATATATTAGCTATATATATATATTAGCTAATTGTTTGCTCGGCAACAGAAAAAAATTTTTTTTGTTGATCTGTGCTATTAGTAATGCATGTATAAATTTGTATGTATGTACATATGTACATACATGCATACATAGATACATACATAGATACATACATACATACATACATACATACATACATACATACATAAATATGTTTCAGTATGTATTCAGTATATATATCAAGGTTTCAACAAAACTATTGGTAAAAAATAGGACTATGAAGGTTAAAAAAACAGGATTTTTCTTGTAAACAGGCTATTTTATGATAACATTTAAAAAATATATTTCTAAAAATCATAAATGAACACCTAAAAACATTTTGTAAACAATAAAAAATATATATATATATACCAAAAAAACATAAATAAGAATGTTACTAAAAAGAAATCTCAAGAATCTTGCAAGCTGCCAAACTGCTCAATTATCCTCACAAATATGTCTTGAATGCTTTTTCAACGAGTAGAGACATGTTTCAACATCCGTTTTTCTTGTAGCTCAGTTAATAATTATACAGCAAAATATTATTCAATTCTTTTTGCAAAAAAATTAAAAAAACTGTGCAAATTAATTGCTAACTGGTCCAAATCAATTTCCTCATAAATCCTTGAAACCTTGCAATTGAAAAATGCAATCCCGCGGTGCTCTATGATAAGACCGTAAGGACTTCTGGGAGCACCTAAATACATACAAAAAAAAAAAAAAAAAAAAAAAAAAAAACCTTCTAAAAAAACATAGGAAACTGTATGGGGCGGCCTTGACTAACATTGATAATAAATTTTTCTGTTTTTTCAAGACCAGTTTCTAACTTTTTGAAGAACAATTTTATGACATTGAAACCTTTCATACTAATGGAAAGAATTGACTTGTTGCAGCTAAACTTTTTCTAAACATTTTTTTGAATGATCAAGAAGATCTTCTCTTCAGTACAGCTCCTTACTAACAATGTCTAATAATGTTACGATTAGCTGAAAATTATAAGCTAAAAAATGGTATATGGGATATGTGTCATGTTTTTTTTTTTTGTCTGTAATATAGTTGATGCTTAAAATTATACTGAAATATTAAGTATAAGAAAATTTAAGTAATTAAATAAAAAATAATAATATATACTCCAGCCTGTCTAAAATGTTTATATAGTTTAGCAGAGTCTAGAAAATCATCAAAGTTTAAACATCCTTTTTGAAACATTTATATAGAAAGTAAATACTTGGCAAAATACATGGCATTCCCATGTAATTGCTAGTTCTGTAGAATCAGTTTTGTTCTTTACCTGTGGTGAAGCTAACATACCTATGATAAGAAACATAGGAAAGTGATCCGAGAAATCTGTTTTCACCTTTTTCAAGCAGCTTATTAAAGAAAAAAATTTTTTAAAATGTTATCAATTGAATCGGTGAGTTCAAAAACTACTTCAGTCGAAAAATGTCAAAAAACCAATTATTGATAAAAATAGCTTAAAAAGTAAGAAACTGATGAGTAAAAAAAAAAACACCTGTTGTCTGTTGAGTAGTTCTGAATGTTTTTAGAATGTTGAGCGAAATAACTTAATAACTATTATACTTCCATTCTCCTAAAAATTTAAAATTTGGTTTAAAAAATCATAATGCGTTCTCGTTTTTTCAAGACGCAAGAAAGAATAAAATAGCCCTGTAATTAAATATATTAGTGTTCTAGTCCTCATTTATATAGATAAGCAAAGTTAGCCGTGGCCTAATGCTCCACGAGGAAAATAGAAAATAGAAATCAAATTGAGAAATGCTATTCGAAAAACATATCTATTGAAAAGAACGTTTTTTTTCTTGGCTTGTGTAATTGCTTGAAATAGAGATTTATATTTTCTATACTTTAATTTGTTTTCATAAGTTTCTTTTTTTCGAAAATGCTCTTTACAAACGTTGTTTTTTATAACTTTATTTTTCTAAGTTTAATCCATGAATAAAAAAATGTTTAAACTTCAATTTTTTTTTTTGAGGTTAAGGTAGCAGATCCCCTTAAAATCAAAAAAAATTCAATTTTTTTTTTACTTGATTTTTATTCAAAATTTAACGGAGATTATTAATATGAAAACAGTTTCTTATAATTCAATTTAGTTTTTTTAATATTTATGTTTTAGTTGACCATAGTTTTTCAGGCTTCCCTAGTTACCGCCATAGCAACGGGTTTGATTATTGGTTTTTTTAACTTTCTAGTCACCTTTTTGGAGGAAACTTCAGTCTTAAAAGAATCTTGTTTGCTTAATGTTTGTACCAGTGCTCAAAACAACTTTAGGATAAACTCCACAGCTTGAACATTACAAATTAGAATCACAGCTTAAACTATATTTGAAAGCTTCTACTAAAAGCGACTTTTACTTCAAATTTGTTTGCAACTTTTAAACAAAAAAATGACTCGCAGTACAATTAGAAAACGTAAATACAAGTTTAAAGAAAATCAGTACACATGCAATGATAAACAAAAAAATAGTTTACCTTCATCGCCAATTGCTAGTTGTTCAAGTGCAAAAAAGTTATTTTCGAAAACGAAAACAACTCAAAATATTGAGTGTAACAATGAAGATTACAAGAACAATTATAACTTTATTATGAACTTTTCTATATTAAAAAGAATATTTAGTAAGTATATTTTTGTCCTGAATGTGGAAATAAAATTACTTTGCATGATAACATTGTGAAAAAATGGGATTTTGTTTACAACTTGAAATTTTTTGTGAAAGCTGTGATAAAATTATAGACACATTTAAAACTTCAGCAATAATTAAAAGATGAATTTTAAAGAAATTAAAATTAAAAGAATAATTAAAAGAAGTTAATACACAAGTTGTTGTTGCTTTTAGAGAAATTGGATAGTATCATTTAATCGTTGCATGAATATGCCAAGACCGATGACAAAAAAAAACTATGGTAAAATAACAAAATTACTTCACAGTGCTTATGTCGAAGCAGCTAATACTTCTATGTCAAATGCTGAAAAAGAGATACATGATATTGTTTTGATGGATGTCATCAGTGATAATACAAGTATTGTTGATTGCCATGTTTCTGTTGATGGAACATGGCAAAAAAGAGGTCACACATCCATAAATGGTGTTGTTACTTTGATATCAACAAATAATCAAAAATGTGATAAAACTATAAATACTTTGCAGAATTATTATGGTACTGCCATAAGGCAAATTCTTAACAGCATTTATGGAATGAAAAAGGGTTTTTGGGCAACACTTTTCCATAACTTAGATATTCTTGGTGAAACTGGACGACATAAATTTTGTCCTCGAAATGTAAATAGCTGGTGCATGTGGCAGTCAAATAAACTAACAGGTAAATCAACTTACAAAGCTAAATTAAATATTCCATTAGCAATAAATGAAATTTTAAAACCCATCTTTCAAGACTTGAGTAGAGATGAATTATTATCTAAATGTTTGCATGGACAGACACAAAATAATAATGAAGCAATTAACAATTTCATTTTAAAAAAGTGTCCTAAAGATGTTTATGTAAGTCAAAATATTCTTGAAATAGCTGTAGCATCTGCTGTTTTAGAGTTTAATGATGGAGCTAGTGGGATATATGAAGTTTTTCAAAAACTACAGATAAAGACCGGTCGATTTATGGACATAGGGACCATTTAAAAAAACAAGACTCAAATAGGTTATATGATAAAAAAGACTTCAACAGTAGGTATTAGCAAAGAAAGCTACTAAGAGCTATGAAAAAAGGGTTCATAGATAAAGAAAATGAAGAAAGAGCATCATATTCTGCTGGTGGTTTTTAGAATGATAAAAAATTTATTATTTTTTAATTACAAAATCTTTAGGAGCATTTTTCTTGTGTTTTATTTTTTTAGAACTTTTCGACACATAAAACGCGTTTTCTCAACTTCTACTATAGATTTTGATTTGAAATTTTCAGCAAATGTTCCTTGTTATGTTGTCTAGGGTTTGTACCTCAATGAAAGTTCAATTTTCATTTTAAGTAAAATTTTTTTTTTTTTTTTTGTGTACTTCATTTTAATAATTTTTGAAAAAATTGATTATCTTTTAAAGAATTTATCATTTTTACACAAAAGTGGTAGAAACCCTAGTTAATAGTACTACTAACATATCCTGAAAATTTGAAGTCCACAGCATTTGTAAAACTTGTATAATCACGTTTGAAAATTTTTTAAAATGGCTGCTTAATTGTCTAATTAGTCCTTAATTACTTTTTTTTTTTTTTTAATTTTTAATTAAAAAAAAAGTTTAATTGATATCAAATAAAACCTAATTGCAATTGGTATTTAATAACAATAGTTTAAGCAACTTTATTTTAAGGGGATCTGCTACCTTAAGGTACTCCCAGAAGTCTTGTCACAGAGTCAAAAAAATTTTTTTAAGGTTAAGGTACTCCCAGAAGTCACTGAGCACCACTGAAGAGCACTTAACTAGGAAGTTGAAAGCAATAATTCCAATTTAAAATTGTAAAGTATCTTTCAAGTTTGCAAAAAATAGAGAATTGATGAAAAGTTTCATACTAATATTGTCATATGTTCATTTTGCAATTTTGATTTTTTTAGGGTTGTGTTCAACACATTTTTTTAGGGTTGTGTTCAACACATTTTTTTAGGGTTGTGTTCAACACTTTTTTTTAGGGTTGTGTTCAACACATTTTTTTAGGGTTGTGTTCAACACATTTTTTTAGGGTTGTGTTCAACTACATTTTTTTGGGTTGTGTTCAACACATTTTTGTGCTATTATAAATATTGGAAAATCATCCTGTATATTGGATATAAATATAACAATTTTAATTTTTATATTCATTTTTATTTGATTTTTATATTCATTTTTATATTTTTATATTATATTAGATTTTTATATTCATTTTATATTCGCCTTTATTTAATTTTTAAATTCATTTTTATTTGATCAATTAAAAATGTCTAATAATTAAGCTTGCTCATTTATTGTTGGAAGACATCCATTTTTATTGTTGGAAGGCATCCATTTTTATTGTTGGAAGACATTCATTTTTATTGTTAGGGAACTGGGGCAAGTTTGTTCCCCATCCCTAAATTTTTTCTAATGTTTTAAGGGATTATTGTAATACTATTCTATTTCTCTAAAAAATGTTTGTGTGTTTACATATTAACACGTAAAGTAAATCCCAGAAAGTACTTTACATGCAAATATTCATGGTTTTTGGATTTATAAAGTATTAAAATAATAAATTGTAATACATAAAACATAATATAAAATATCATTTAATATAAAAGAATTATAAATTGTATTAATATTATATTGTTTCTGGAAGACATCTGGACTAGCTTTTTAGTCATAAGTCAGTTATAAATCCATGCATAGGCGTTTAATCCATTATGGTTTTTTGGAGTATGGCTGGACTGGCATGAAAAACAAATGAAAAAAAAGAACCCATCGATCATGTTTGTGTGAACCAAAGTAAAAATATTCAAAGATATACAAAAGTCGAAGTTCAAACAAATATTTATCTGAAAACGGATAAAAAATACTTTGTCATAATAGATTCATTTTCTTATATATTATAATTTTAACAAATATCAAGAATATATTACAAAATTAAATTCGTATAAACTTATTTATCAAGCTTTCACAAATTTTGAGATTTTTTAATTATTGATGTAATTAAAGTCATTAAACTCTAATCCTTGAATATTTTAACATCTTCTCAGAAGTTTCCCATAATTCAATTCATACTTAGATTCAGAAGTTGAGAAACTACTCAGAGTTTTAAACAAATTGTAATTAACAGATTCGGAACATTAATCAGCGAGACTCTCCATGGCATTCTGATTTTGTTTAAAAAACAACAAGGTAATGCTTAATAATATGACCTTTGAATCCTAATAAAAGATTGTGGTGAAATTAATCATTGCATAAATTTCAGATTCATAAATCAAATTATAAACTAAAAACTAAATAGATAGTATATATGTTATAACATAAAATGTTTATAAATAGAAATTGTTTTTATGTTTAATGTGTTTGTTTTTTATGTTGCTTTGCTCTGTGAAAGCAGAATTAACGTGAAATAAAAAAAAAGAAAAGTTAAGTAATAATCTATAATTATAAATAATAATAAAAATAAAAAAGCATTAATTTATAACAAGTATTATTTTAATTTTTTACTTTGGTATTTATCAGAATGATAAACTGTATCCTATAAAAAAAGATATACTTGCAGTTTTATGGTAATGCTAGGAAGGCAGTTTTAGGAAGGCACTGTTAGGAAGGCAGTTTTAGAAAAGCACTGTTAGGAAGGCAGTTTAAGGAAGGCACTGTTAGGAAGGCACTGTTAGGAAGATGATGTTTCTACTAGCCCTAAATTTTATTCCAGAAACAATACCAGCAGGTGTGAATGGCAAAGGGATATGATTACAGGAAAATGCACCTAAAAAAAACAAATTAAACTTACCAGTTGTTATTAAAAAGTTATTATATTAGTTTCATTATTTTATTTATTCATTGTATCAAATTATTGTATCGAATTCATGGAACTCAGTTATGACAACTTTTTATTAAAATATATACTGAATTTTACCCAAAATTTTTATGAGTCTTGCAATCAAATAAATCTGGAAATTTATTATAGATTTATTTATTACGTTTAGATTTATTATAGATTTATTTTTTACGTTTAGATTTATTATAGATTTATTTATTACGTTTAGATTTATTATAGATTTATTTATTACGTTTAGATTTATTATAGATTTAATTATTACGTTTAGATTTATTATAGGTTTATTTATTACGTTTAGATTATTATAGATTTATTTATTACGTTTAGATTTATTATAGATTTATTTATTACGTTTAGATTTATTATAGATTTATTTATTACGTTTAGATTTATTATAGATTTATTTATTACGTTTAGATTTGTTATAGATTTATTTATTACGTTTAGATTTATTAGTTTTAAATTAAAAAACGTTTCAGTAAAACAAAGAAATTTTTATTTTGATACAATTAAAAAAAAAAACAGTCATTTAAAAAGGAAATAAAATTTTTTAGAAAAGGTTTTTGTAACAATGAATTGAAATGTTGTTTTTATTTTTTATTATTATTATTTTTGTTATTACTATTATATTTTTTTTTTTGCGTTTTTTCTGTAAACAAATTCATCAATTTTGAAAAAGAAAATCTTCAACTCGAAGATTATGCTTAAAATTTTAACTGCACATGTTTAATAATGGCTATTTAAATTTTATGTTTTACATAGAAATTAAATAGCCATTATTAAAAATGTAATTATTTTGATTTTGTAAACATTACGCTGGTAATTTTGGTTATGTTTTTTAACAACATTGTTAAACTATTTATAAAATTTTAGACTTTAAATCTGTTTAGGAGTTCAGGAAAAATACTTGTTTAAAAAGTAATTAAATTTCATTATTAATCATGATCACTTCGATCATATTTATTATTCAATTAAAAATTACAATCACAGAATAGCTTCATTAAAAATACAATCGACAGGACTTCCAGTAGATCATACGATCTTATCGTGAAGCTCTTTACCATTTTAAATAAAAAAGTAGTCAAATTAACCAATTAAAGTAAATTAACATAAACTATATATAACTGTGCATTTAAAATATATTTAAAATATACTCGATGAAATATATGAAGCAAATTAACTTAAAAAAAGAAACAAAAAATTCTGTTGAAAAGATAACTTTTTTTAATTTTCGTTTGAAAAGAGTTAAAGTTCATTTCAAAGACAAATCATAATTAGGTAAAACTATTTTATTCTATAAAAAAAGGTAGGAAATAAATAGCCGATAAGAAATTAATAGTTATTTAAATTTAGTTTAGCAGAAATATTCTTTTCCATTGCGAAGGTTGCATTTGTTTATGGGTTTTACATGATAAAGGTTAATAAATAAATATAAATATATAATATATATATATAGATAGGTTTATAAATACATTAGGAGTTAAACAGTTTTTACATTTAAACATAAAAACATAAAACATTTAAGGCTTTCATTACTCTTGGAAGTGGTTTTGAATTTGAAAACCTAATTTTTCATAGAGCCCCTACAGATCATAACAATAATATAAAAATATGGTATATAAAACAAGTAAAAAGTTTAGCAAAAAAATAGTAAAAATAAGATATGTTTAAAAACACATATATAACGCGTAATTAAGTTAATTTTTTTTTTCTCATTTTAATCCATCTTTTTCAAAAGAAGCTAACGTGACAAATGAGAATGTGACAACTGAGAAACGTGACAAATGAGAATGTGACAACTGAGAAACGTGACAAATGAGAATGATAGCTCAAAAGTCTCTGCTCTTGAATCAAATAGCAATTTAGAAGGCAGATAGAATATATAAACTAATCGTGACCAGGCAAAAGATACAACATTTCCCGTTTGTTTTAGTACATCTTCTTCAAAAGATGCTGGAGTGATAAATGAATTTGATAGCTCCGAATTTTTTGCTATTGAATCAAATAGCGCTTTAGAAGACAGATTGAATATATTAACTAATCCTTACCAGCCAACAGAGTTTACATCTCCCAAAAAGAGAAATAATATGCCGTTTCCCAGCCACGTGGTTCAAAACCTATCCATGGATCCATTATGACGTTTACTATGATTAAGCGTGTTGCATCACGTGCATTAAAGCTCATGAGATAAAGAGGCAACATAGCGTGTTTTGAAGACTCCACGTATGTGAATGTTGGGGCTATCCTTTTTAATGAATTTCATTTAAAACAGCTCAACAATAGAAGATTTTTTTTTTTGTATGTATATATTTCGCCGTATTTTTTTATATGTATATATTGCTACATTACCAAAATGTATAAATAAATATTTTCATGGCCGGGGCAAAAAAGAAGACAAAAATCGTCTTATCACTAAGCCCCATAGTTTACATAGTATTTTTACATTATAAGCAGTTGTTTTATAAGATAAATATTTTATAATACCGTTAAAAATTGAAATATATTTTTGTTTAATTAACAAAAACCCAAAAAATAAAATTAAAAAAAAAATTTAAATAAATAAAGACATAACACAATTCAACAAAAGACAGTAAAAAAAAAAAAAAAAAAACTAAACAAAATTAAATATAAGAGCTGATTTGAAATAAAGTTATAAAAAGCACTATTTGTTAAAGTAATTATGTTGATTGTTAATCAATAATTATTAATAGGATTAAGAGTTATTTTTTACACTTATTAAGTTAATAATAACAAGAGCAGAAAAAAGCAAACCAGGTGGCTTGTTCGCATAAGCAAATTTAAAAAGATGAATAATAAAAAAAATATATATAAAATAAAAACCAGAAAATAATAAAAAAGAAGATAAAGTAAAGTTAAAAGAAAGAAAGATATATAAATAAAAAATAAAAATATTTAGAAATAACTTAATTCATTGTCAATAGTAAGAAGTTTTTGTTTAAGTTTTATTTTTTTGTGAAAAGCAGCAGTAGTTTTGATATCGTTATTAAATTTAGAATTCCATAATTTGGGTCCTCTATTTGTAATAGAGAATTTGGTGGCCGTATAATAGGTTTTGGGTTGAATGTAATATTAATTTGAAAATCTAGTAGAGTAAACATGATTTATTTTGTTAAAAAAGGTATTAAATAATAATAATAGCTATCCTGAAACAACGGAGGAGATACGATAGAGGAGGAAATACAACGCCGCTGAAACGATAACAACTTGATTTGATCAGCCAGGTTGGGTTGTTTACCGAAACATGCAGTATGTTTTGATGAATGCAATTAACGGAGAATTCTTTAACAGAGAACTCGATGTCGTTTTTAGAGTATTTGAAAATGATTTAAAAAAAGATGAAATGATTTCTCAATTTCAAAATCTTAGGTTCTGCTTGAAAAAAACAGTTGTAAGTACAAACAAATTAGTTTCATTGTTACAAAACTTAAGTGCGGGTGAAAGACGCTTGATGCTTCCTGGTTATGCCTGCAACTAATACTGTAAGAGAAAGATCACTTTCCGCTTTAAGACGCGCGAAAATGTATTTTAAATTAACAACTAACAAACGCTTGAATCATATTATGTTATTAAATATTCATAAAGATAGGACTCACGCAATCGGTATGATTGAAGTTGCAAAAGAGTTCGGGAAGAAACACGCTTAAACATTTTGGACGTTTCTCTAAATACGATATTCAATGTCAACTTAAACATAATAGTAAATTCACCCCAAAATAAAAAGCTGTGGATTTAGCTGTCTTTTAAATCGAATAGAATATAAAACAAAACTCCCTTTATGATACATTGCAAGCAAAGTCAAAATAAAAATATGTCAGTAAAAAAAAAAGGCGAGACAGGAAAGGTTTTATTCTGATTCACCCTCAAAGTACTTACCAAGTGTTATTGCCAAAGTTAATCATTTCTTGTTTCTTTACTAAAAAGACTTTATTTAATTTTTAATAGAAAGACAATCATTTTTGCACAACTTTTCTCAATTTTTTCTAACCATCACCAGTGACTTTCCAAATGCTGTTTACTACTTTTCCCTATCTTTATTTTTATATTTATGAGTTGCTTATACGGCATTTCAATGCTTAGCAAGAATCCTAAAACCATACTTATTCACTTGCAACTAAATTTATTATGCAAGCAAGTTTGCATCTACTCAACTATTTTGTCATATATTACGTTTACATAATGATATGTAAATATCAATCAATCATAATGCATAACTCTGGTTTGAAAACAAAAATCCAAATTTTAACTTGACTTAAAAATTTTAACTAAAAAAAAAGAAACTTCCTCATTGCGAAGATTTTGCAAACATAATTTGACGTCATATACACTATGGCTTTATATCGATTGTTAAAATGGATATTCTTTAAAAATAAGTTAGAATGGAAATATTTTTAGGCGCAGAGTATTCAGGTAAGAATTAACAATATCAATATTTTTCAATGATATATAACAAACGAATAAGCCGTTTTTAAAAAATACTAATATATAATATATACTTTAATATATTTATATACTAATATATATAATTTAAATAAAAATAAAAACAATTAAGTCAAAAAAATATATTGAAATTTCTTTTTAAATTAAAACACCCAAAGCGAAAAAAAATACTTGTCCTTTTTTTATTACAGATATTCCGGTAAATGTTCCAACACATGAATTTATAACTAACCCACCTATCAACAACAATAATCTAGAAAATCCCGACTTTGACAAATGCATTAGTGAAAACAGCATAAAACCACGAGTAAATGTAAAACGAACAATACGCTCCTACATTTCAAAGTCTCATTTAATAAACATATTTAAAATTAAAAAGAAGTATCTTCCCGCTAAACTTGCATATTTTACGTATTTTGCACAGAGATCTCTTATTTCAACATATTACGTCTTGTATTTAATAAGTACTGGTTTGGATCCAAAACAGGTGGGAATGGCGGAAACAATAAAAATGATCGCTTTAACATTAAGCGAACTATTTTGGGGACATTTGGCAGATCGATGTAAAAACAAGTTAAAAATTATCGTTACACAAACTATCATGGTCTCCGTCTTTTTGTTTTCCAGTCCGTGGGCGGCTTATTGGATAAATTCAAATGAAATATCAAAGCAAAAAAATTACTGTGTAAATGAATTAAAACATAAAGTTGTAAACTTGACTAATTTTTCAATATCGCAACTAAGAAGTAGCAACACTGACCATCACTTTAGAAGTGGCCCTAATATTCTTTTTTTAACAATGACGACTTTAGGTGTTGGAGCAGCTCTTTTCGGAGGAGGAAGACAAGGTTTGCTTGATACTAAAATAGTAATTATGACAAAAAAAGAATCAAAAAGTAGCAACGCATTTGGCAGACAAAGACTTTGGGGTTCCATGGCTTATTCTGTTGTGCCATTATTTATGGGCCTAGGATTAGAAAACGCCCCATTATCTGCTATTTCTCCTTACCTACCAGTTTTCATCGTTTTTATTTTGATAAACATTTTGAATCTAATCTGCAGTGTTTTCATTTTTAAAAACCGAAATGATGAAGCAGACACGAGTACAAATGAAAACAAAAATAATTATTTAAATAATAAAATTTGGAATGTTTTACAAACAGGTGTTCAAGATTATAACTTTATTTTTCTTTTTTTCACTGTATTTTTTATTGGAGTAGCTAACGGTGTGCAATGGTGCTTTCAGTTCATTTTTATGGATGAGATGGGCGCTTCTAAAACTTTTATGGGTCTTTGTGTTCTTAGTCAATGTGGAATGGAAGTTCTTATGTTTCCATTGGCTGCTAAAATAACAAACAAGTTAGGTGGTAATAAAGTTACAATGATTATTGCATTTTTTTGTTATGGAACTTTGCTCTGTTCGTACTCTTTTGTTAAATCTTACCAAACAATAACTATAATAACCGGTTTTTTGGGAATAACTTATACTTTGTATTTTTGTGCTGTATTTGACGAGCTTTACAAGATTAGCAACGACAGCTGCAGAGGTACAATAAACGCCATTTACAATAGTGTATTTAGCGGCATTGGAAATGCTGTGGCAGGTATGGCAGGTGGGACAATTTATAAAACTTACGGTGGCCGATTTTTATTTTTATGGAGTGGAATTCTATACATAGCAATAGGTACCATGTTCGTTGTTCTTAGACTAATGATAACATTAAAGAATCGAATTCACACGCATAGAAACTACTACCAATTCGAAAATTTAAGTTCGTTATCACAAACAAAAGATCACGAATCTAAAGTTGAAATTTCTAAAGAAAATAACGATGATCCAATGATAAATTAAATGAACAATTTGAAGCAGCTACGTCAATGTTTCTTTGTTTTGTTCGTACTCCTCAACATAACACTGCAACTAAAATATAAATTTAGAAACTCGTAGTTGTAAATTTTTTATTTATGTTTGAAAATTATAACGACTACTTAACATTGATTACTAAACTTTAATAATAATTATATTTAAGTATAAAATAGAAATTATATTTAAGTATAAAATAGAAATTAGTTTCATATTTAAAAAAATTTAGACTCAACACTTACAGAAAATAATTGTGTGTCACACGATCGAATTGGCGTGATAACCGATTTTTTATGCAATGCCTCATTTTCAACAACCCACGGAAAAGCCTGGTAGTTCGAATAAAATCTTTAAAAAACTCTTTATTTTTAAAAATACAATATAATTAAAAAAAAGGATTAACTTGGTCTTCATCTTCAATTAGGTGTTGCCAGGACGACATGTTAGTATAAATTAAGACTTGAAAAGTGCATTCTAAATGATTGCAAAGCAAAAAAGTAGTAAACTCTTACTTTTATAAAAGAAAAGTAAAACATAAAAGCAACAACTAATTTCATTTAACCTTTTGAATGTGGTTTAAGTAAAACATTGCAAGTCATCAATTTCAAAAGAAAAGATCGTAGGTATAACTCCAATTCCAAGTAACATACTTTACTATAGGGGAAAAAAAAAAGAAAAAGAAAATTGCGGTCTTAAAAGCTATTAAAAAAAACAACAACATAAACTTGATAAAACTGGAAAATGATATATATATACTTATATATATATCATTTTCCAGTTTCCTACTTTCTATATATTTGCACCAAATTTATATATATATATATATATATATATATATATATATATATATATATATATATATATATATATATATATATATATATATATATATATATATACATATATATATATATATATATATATATATATATATATATATATATATATATACATATATATATATATATATATATATGTATATATATATATATATATATATATATATATATATATATATATATATATATATATATATATATATATATATATATATATATAAATTTGGTGCAAATATATAGAAAGTAGGTTTTAAAGCATACCGGGCATTTTTTGGTTATAAATATTGTACATTACTTGCTACTTTAATTAGTTACGTATTTGAAGGTAACATTTTTATTCATCTCCCTCCTCCTGCCATTTCCCAAAATAAAATAAATAGTAAACCAATACACTTCATGTTCTTTACTAAAATTTCATATGAATTTATTTTTAAATAAAAAACAATTAATATGAAGCCACTACATTGATTTAAAATTTGAAATTTACATTGATTTTGAATTTTAAAATTCAAAATAAAAATTTAAGTAACTGTATGTGATGCATAGATATAAAAATAATGTACAGTTATCGATTCGGTTTTGTGATATTTTGTATTTACTTGAAAAGAAATCATGGTCACTAAAACACATTTCATCTCAATATTAACAGCAATCAAATTTGCCAAATTTGCCAAATGGAATTACAAAAAAGTTGGATATTCTACATTGTCCTCCTAAGTCAAACTTAAAGGTTGATAGGTGTCAACTAATTGAATGTGAATGTATCATGGCGAAAATAAAACATCCTTGGATTAAAGCAGGGTTTCCAGTTATTAGCGACGTAAATACTCGTAAAAATTTAAGAATCTTGAGCAAAAATATTCTAATTTATTAAAGAATGTCAAAAGAAACTCAAAACAAGATATTAAAAATCAAATAGGATTTGAAAATTTTGTTAAACGTGTTTTTTAGATAGGAATTCCAGAACTAAAAGATTTTATTCAAAGTAACAAGCTAAGATCCAACGAATCTAAAATCAAAGATTTACAATTAGAAGATCAAGAAGGTCCAAGACTATATCACTTGGGTCCTCTAGACACTAAATATACTAAGAAAATAATTTGATTATGTTTTGTAAGAATTAGCATTGTGTAATTTTTATTTTTTCAAATGTTTAGGCTGTTTTGCGTAGGATCTTAATTAAACGATGCTCTTAAACTAGATGAACTATTGAGTTACTTTACTATATGGAGTGAAGCATTAGTATATAAAATATTGATTTAATCAAATTTATTTTGTTTTTGGACTTACACTGTTGATTCTCATCCACACATTTAGTTTTTAAATAATATACTTTTTATAGTTTGATAAATTTATTAAATATGCTCTAACTTTGTATTTTTCTCACTCTAACAACTTATAACTAATAAATTTATTTTTATGTAAAGAAAAATCATTAAATATAAAGAAGTACAAAAATGCAATAAAAAATGGATCACCGAGTAAAGTAATATCTTAAAATTTTACGAAGAAGACGTTGCAGAAATGATAAACTAAGTTTAGATAACTTTTCTGATTCTGACTTCGAGCCAGGCGAATGTACAAAAATTCGGGCCAACACTCCTAAAGATATTTATTCCGGAAATGTTGCTTTAATGGCAACTGTTAATAACATCTCTCCTATAATTCTGCAGAGAATTACAACGGCGGTTGTTCAAGCTGCAGGAGTAGACATGAACGCCATAAAATCAAGTGCTGCATAAAATCAAGTGCTGCTAGAAGAATAAAAAGAGAAAATAAAGAAATTTCAAATATTGCTAAAGAAGATATTAAAACAAAAGTACGTTTTCCTACATTCCCATGTATAATTCATTTTAAAAGAAAAACTATATTTGAGACGATTAAAGGAAAGTAACTAAAATGCGAGCGACTAGCTGTACTAGTAAATATTAACGGCGAATCATACTTGTTGAGTGTGCCTTCTTTACCATCCTCTTCAGGAGAAGATCAATATAAAGGAATAATGCAGTTGCTAGACGAATATGGTATTAAATCAAATGTTGGTGGATTTTGATTTGACACAACAGCAATAAATACTGGCATTATGAAAGGGACTGTTAATAGAAATACCTATGATTTAGGTAAATACATTCTCTAGCTTGCTTGAAGGCACCATGTTACAGAGCTTAGAATAAGTCATTTTCAGAAACATGTTACTCATGAAGAAAAGGTAAGACCAGAAAATCTTTTTTTAAAAGATTAAGAAATTAGTTTGAGAATCCTGAGTTTCATTACAATCCTGAAAACATAATAAAGTTTGATTGGTCATTAAAGGCTGGTACTGTAGTCGAAAAAGCAGCAACAGATGCACTCGAATATTGCAAAAAATACATTTAAAAGAAAAATATTGCTAGGGAAGACAGAAAAAAACTAGCAGAGCTTGTAATTATTTATTTATCGAAATCAGGAATTGTTTAAATAAAAAAACCATCATGCAAGGTCATCATGCAAGATTTCTTAGCTCAGCTCTTTATTATACAAAGTTACATCTAAACAACTAAAAGTTACATCTGCTATCTAAACAACTAAAAGTTACATCTGCTATCTAAACAACTAAAAGTTACATCTGCTATCTAAACAACTAAAAGTTACATCTGCTATCTAAACAACTAAAAGTTACATCTGCTATCTAAACAACTAAAAGTTACATCTGCTATCTAAACAACTAAAAGTTACATCTGCTATCTAAACAACTAAAAGTTACATCTGCTATCTAAACAACTAAAAGTTACATCAGTTATCTAAACAACTAAAAGTTACATCTGCTATCTAAACAACTAAAAGTTACATCAGTTATCTAAACAACTAAAAGTTACATCAGTTATCTAAACAACTAAATTTTTTGATAAAAGAGGAAAACGTAAACGCTCAAGTAGAACAAATTGTGGAATTTATTTGTTGTTTTTATGCTTCTATTTTTATGGTACTTGCAAAGCCACAATCCTATTAAAGCCCCACATCTTGATATTACAGCTCTACATCAAATGAATTTGAATAAAGATGTTTGCCAAGTAAAAGAAGCTATAGATAAAGTCATTGACTTAATATTAAAACATTCTTGGTAGTTACACTTAACTTTAATACCTCTTTCGCTTCTAGATTATAAAGTTCCTAATAAAGATAGAACACTAATTGCCAAATCAATTTTATCTTACAAAATGCCATCTTTAAAGGCATCTGATTACAAAATTGAAAATAAGCCAAAAGTGGATATCAAAGAGATAACCAACCTAGATAGCACAACAGGTAGTAATCCACCATATTTGGCGGTGTTAGTTAACTAGTTTTCCTACTTTATTTTTGTAGTAAATGGGTTTACAGAAGTGAGAATATGCGATTGGTTGCCACTTCCACTATCTTTCTGGCACACTCAATTATATTACAAGTTTTTAGCCTATGCAAAAAATTTTATTATAGTAAACGATAATGAAGAAAGAAATGTAGGCATGATGCAGGAGTTCATCCATAAATATATTAGTGAGGAAGTAAAACAAATGAGACTGGTAACCATAGACAAAGTTTCACTCTAAAAACAGTCCGTTAAAAAAAGTAACGGATTGCGCTTTTTTGTCAAATTAACGGATTAATTCGTTACCAAAAACCAGAAAATTAACGGAGTAAAATTAACTGTTTACGGATTCTTTGAAATTTCGTTAATTCAACGGATTAAATATTCTAATCAGTCAAAAAAAAAATTTCAGTATATTATATCTTTTTATTTTGAAAATGATAAAGTTTTGAATGCGTTTTTCTCACATTTACATTTACATCGTAGATAAAAGTTGGTTGCAGTAAATGTAATATGCCATTTTTTAAAAAGCTTTACATTTAGTAGACAAAGCAAATGGATAAATATAATTTAAATTACGCTATGTTATTTCGAAAGTTATTTAACTTATTTTAAATTTTCTATATAAAGCTTTATACAGAAAATTTAACAATAAGGTTTATTTTATTTTTTAATTTTTAAATATTTTATTTTATTAATTAAAAGCCATTAGTATTACTAAATAATATATAATAACATATATGGTAAGTTAATACATATAATATATGGTAAGTTACTACATGTCTAAATCTAGAAAATTATGCAAGAATATATGCAATCCATATAGTCTATATTATAGAAATAAAAGCTCAACTAATCCTTTACTAGTAGTAATGGGTTAGTTGAACAATTATTTCTATAATATAGACTAAATGGATTATTTATAGTCTTGTTTAACTTTATATTTTAGACATATGACATGTAGTAACATACCATATTAGTTTAAATCAGTTGTAAAATTAAAAATGTTAACATCTTTGATAGGTATATTTATTTAGGTTAATTACAGCTAAGTTTACATGGCTAGTTAATATGCTTTTATAAATTGCAATTTTTATTAATTTCCAAATTAAACATGTGGCATCCAATATCATAAACTAAGATTATACTGGTGTGTTTATATTATTTTAGAATATTTTGTTTTAGACACATGGCATTTGTTATCCCACTGTAAGTTAAAACTAGTCGTAAAATTAAAAAAATTTTATTGGAACTTCTTTTTCTTTAAACATTCATGTTTATTTATTTATACTATCTTAGAATTTGCTGCTTTAGAGGCATGGCATTTAGTGTCACATTGTAGGTTTAAATTGGTTGTAGAATTTATATTGTAACTTGCATATTTATTTAGTTGAGTTTAATCTAAGTTTATATCTGATGTGTTTGTATTATTTTAGAATTTACTGTTTTAGACACGTGGCATGTGGTATCCCACTGTAAGTTTGAATTAGTATATTTAAAAAAAAATATATATTTTTACTTGCATTTTTTTTGAGGTTCATGTTTATATCATCAGATTACAACTAAGTTTGTGTATGGCTTGTTTATATTATTTCAGAATTTGCTATTTTAGACACTTGGTATAAGCTGTCATACTGTAAGTTTAAATTGGTTGTAAAATTTATATTGTAACTTGCATTTCTATTGGCGTGCATATTTATTTAGTTGAGTTTCAACTATTAATAATAATAATAATAATAATATGTTTATATCTGGTGTGTTTATATCATTTTAAAATTTACTGTTTTAGACACGTGGCATGTGGTATCCCACTGTAAGTTTGAATTTTTTATTTATTTATTTACACTTTTGCCGATAAAAAAAAATTTACAGTCGTAACTTATAAAAAAAATAATTACATGACCGGGGCTAGAAGAAGACAAATTTAGTCTTATCATTAAGCCCAAAATTAGTAAATTTAAAAAAATTGTATTTTAACTTGCATTTCTTTTGGCATGCATATTTTTTTAGTTTAGTTAAGACTAAGTTTATATCATACTTTTTTAACTATTATTCCACTATATTCTATATTCTCTATTATTTTAGAATTAGCTATTTTAAACATGTGACAAGTGGTATGACACTGTAAGTTTAAATAAGTTGTAAAATTAATTTTTTTATATAGTTACTTGCGTTTTTTTTGGTCTGCATATTTAATCTTGTTTTGATTTATCATAGTTTTTAAAAGGTTAGAGACTTTTATTTTTTGCTCCTGATAGATATTGATGTATGTGAAATGTATAGATTCTTTCAGTTATCAGATAATATCAAGGTAATCTTATACTTTTTTTTTATTTACATTTTGATAAAGATATAATTTACTTGTTCCATTTAACTTTATCTTTAAAAAAACGATATCAGAGATAATTAAAATAACAAAATTTAGAATATAAATTTGTATATAATGAATTACCAAAAAAATTTTCTACAGTGCTATCAATAACATTTTATTTTGGTTCTATACTAGGTATGTTATTAAGTTTCCATATTTTCCTTATTTTATTTTATATTAATCTTTAAGGAGTTGACAGCATGGTGTCTGATTTAAAGTGCGAACCTGTGTACGAGTAACAAGAGTATTCAAAACCAAAACCTATTTAAACCAACTAAACCAAAACTAGCGACCAAAAACTATCTTGGCATTGGTTTATTTTAAACATCTATTATATATATGTGTGTTTTTTATATAAATGTACTAGCTTGAGTATAGTGTATTAAAAATTTTTTTTTATGTATTTTTATTGTAATTTAAAGTATATTGGATTAAATATCATAAATATTTGATTAGTTTTCAATTTTTGGTTAAAACGCTTTAATGTAGAATATCGAAATAAAATAATGCAATTAAATAAAAATGCAAACATTAACAAATATAAGGATTATTTGGTCATGAAGTCACAATTCTGGCCTCTCTAATTTTAGATTTTAGTGATTTTAACGAAATAATCACTAAAATAACTTATTAACACATTTATTTCATAGGAATAACAACCGCGGAAAAATTGCTGCCTAGTGTAATAACTTAATTTTAATGGATTATTCGTTGCACTAACGAAATAAATCCGTAAATTCAACGGACTATTCCTAACGGACTTCAATTCGTTAAAACTTTAATTCGTTAACTTAACGGATTTCTCGTTAGTGCAATAGCGACAGATACAATTCGTTGTATATAACGGATTTTTTCTTAGAGTGTTGTTATGACATGAAAAAATCTGAAAAAAGCTCCAGCAAGATGACAAAAAGGAATATGGAAATAGGTTTGAAGGTTTGAATAACATTAACAATTTCAAGATATTCAAAAGTGATTAGAAAACTTTTTTTTTCTTTTGTAGGCTTTTTTTAAGGTAAATAGAAAACCTAGTTTTTCTCATAACTGGCGTGAGTAACTTAAAAACTTATTTTGGCATAAAAACTTAAATCAATTTTTAATTAATGTCATAGAAACAATTTTTTAATTAATGTCTTAGAAACAATAGAAAACAATTAAAATTAATAAAAAGCATCAACAAATTCTTTCAGTGATTGCGAGGACTATCCTACTAATATATATATATATATATATATATATATATATATATATATATATATATATATATATATATATATATATATATATATATATATATATATATATATATATATATATATATATATATATTAGGGTGGTGCTAAAAACAACTTTTTTTGAAAATGTTGGATGAGACCCCCTAAATGTGTTCTATATAATAAAATAATACTGGATTTGAAAATTTTTTGAATAAAAAATATTTTTAGGGGTGCCACAAGACCTTTAAACATCAAACAGGTCTCTAATATTACCAAAAAAAGTTTTTCAAAAATATGTCATGTTAGGTCTCAAATGAAATGAAACTATATAAAAATTTCAAAAATAATCATCATTTAATAAAAAAATTATTATTTTAGATTTAAATAAACAGAAAACAACGTTTTTGAACTAAAAACGAAAAATAGGGAATTTAATTTACTAGATTTTTGATTATAATATTTTCAGGCAATGTTTTTTATAAAACGATGATTATTTTTGAAATTTTTATATAATATCGCTTTATTTGAGACCCAACATAACATACTGTTAAAAAACTTTTTTTTTGATAATATTAGGGACCTGTTTGATGTTTAAGGTCTTGTGGCACCCCAGGTCTTGTGTCACCAGACATTTTCAAAAAAAAGTTATTTTAAGCACCACCCAAATATATATATAAATATATATATTTGTTATATAAATATATATATTATACTATAACATATATATTATACTATAATATATATATTATACTATAACATATATATTATACTATAACATATATACTATACTATAATATATATATTATACTATAATATATATATATATATATATATATATATATATATATATATATATATATATATATATATATATATATATATATATATATATATATATATATATATATATATATATATATATATATATATATATATATATATATATTACAAATGCGGTAAAATATTCCTGACTAAAATATATATATATATATACATATATATATATATATATATATATATATATATATATATATATATATATATATATATATATATATATATATATATATATATATATATATATATATATATATATATATATATATATATATATATATATATATATATATATATATATATATATATATCACACACATATACATATCACACACATATACAGGATTTTAGTCAGGAATATTTTACCGCATTTGTGTGATATGGCAAATATTTATTGTAATTGTTCTACAAAATATTGAGAATCATACTTTTCAAACTGCTTCAACTTTAAATCAAAACAAAATTTGTCCAATGGAAAACCTTTCTAAAAAAAAGGAAATGATTATTGATTTAATATTTTAAATGAAAAATTATGACTTCATTTAACAACTGCAAAATCTGCCTTACCTCATTATTTATCTGGATAACTAACTTTTCAAGTTCATTCTGAAAAAGTAAATTAAAATAAAAAACTTATTGTTGCTAAAACAATTTTAAAATCTGCAAAACTAAAACTAAAATGTAGATAAAAAATAAAACTGAAAATAAAACTGAGAAAAAAATTACAGACCTTATGTATTAATGGCTTCATAGAACATAAAACATTAGATATGTATAAATTTACATCAGGATGTTTACTCATCTTAAAATACAAACGTAAAAAGTTCAATATTTAACAATCAATCAATTTTTAAAAATATCAATAAAACATACCATAACTGCCATGTTATATTTTTGGTATCGTTCAAAAATACCGCGAGGGTAAATGTTTCGAACATAAAGAATAGTGTTAATAGCAACTTCAAACATTTCCAACAATATATCTTCGAATGGGTTTGCTTCAGAATCTGTTTAAAAAAATTATTTTTTAATAATTATTAGTAATTCTAGAGTTGATGTGTAGTATAAATATAAAGTTAATAGTAATTACATCAACTCTAGATTAAAATTTTCAAAAAATATTGAACTATTGTACAAAGCGTAACTAGGAGGAAACTGGCAATTTCATTCCTTTTTCTACTTTCAATGTTTCATTCCTAGGCATATTTTTGGTCTACATCTCAACATGTCAAGTAACACACTGCAAATACGCTTGTATTACATTTGTTGTAAAATATAGATGTAGCAGACTGAGGGGAAATTAGTACATGTTGAAGATCAAATTAATAGTAATATGTATAAATATGTGTAAATACGTATGTATATATGTACATACTATTTTATGACAACATTGAAAAAATATATTTCTAAAAATCATAAATGAACACCTAAAAACATTTTATAAACAAAAAATGTATATATACTAAAAAAAACGCTAATAACAATGTTACTAAAGAGAATTCTCAAGAATCTTGCAAGTTGTAAAACTGCTCAATTATCCTCACTAACATGTCTTGAATGCTTATCCAACAAGTAGAGACATGTTTCAACATCTGTTCTTCTTGTAGCTCAGTTAATAATTATACAGCAAAATATTATTCAATTCTTTTTGCAAAAAACTAAAAAAAAACTGTGCTAATTGCTAATTGGTCCAAATCAATTTCCTCAGAAATCTTTGAAACCTTCTTAAAAAACATTGGAAACTGTATGGAGCAGCCTAGACCAACATTGATAATAAACTTTTTTTTTTTCAAGACCAGTTTCCAAATTTTTGAAGGACAATTTTATGACATTGGGACCATACATACTAATGGAAGAAATTGACTTGTTGCAGCTAAATTTTTCCTAAACACTTTTTTGAATGATCAAGAAGGTCTTCTGCAGTATAGCTTCCTATTAACAATGTCCCCTAGTACGATGTTACGATTAGCTGAAAATGATTGGAATGGCATGTGACATAAATGCCATGTTGTTTTCTTGTATCTGTTTAATCTAGTTGATGCTTAATATTATACTGACATATTTAGTATTAACAAATTTAAGTAATTAAATAAAAAATAATAACTTATACTCCAGCTTGTCTAAAATGTTTATATCAGTATAGCAGAGTCTAGAAAATCATCAAAGTTTAAACATCCTTTTTGGAACATTTATATTGAAAGGGTATTTCCATGTATTTTACAGTATGTAAATATATTAAATACAATATCATATGATGTATAAAACTATTTTTATCTTCATGCATATTTTATTATTTTATTTCATACTTTTCTATTTCTTTACATGATCTACTCTGACTATGTTACCTTTACTAGCTATTATTTTATACTTGTCTATATCTTTTTATATTATACCCTGATTGACTATGTTATCTTTACTAGTTTACAAACATCAATTAAAAACAGAACACTCCAAAATACTCCAACCTCAAAGAGACTAATAAATGAGTTTGAGATCAGAATAATATTAACATAACAAATAAAATTGAGTTACATGGGGTTCAAGTTTTAGTATTTTTACAAATAAAACTATTTACAGTATATTTTATTTATATGTAATGAACATATGAATAAAAATTCATTAAAACTGCAATTTCAGGTATATAAATTTTTTTCAATGTTTTATAAAAATATACCTCTGCATGATTGGTTTTCCATTTTTCATTTTTTCCACTTATTTTTGATTGCTATATAAGTTATTAATTAAATCTATAACATATTAAGTCAATAACTCATTAAATATCTGAAAAATTGTTGTCCAAGCAACTGTTAGTAAAACTATAATAAATACTATCCACATAGTTTATTTAGTACATAAAAGTAATTATTTAATAAAATGATCAAACAAATGATGTAAAAAATGTCATTAAGAAACAATAACATGAACTTTTATTTAATTAAAAAAACAAAATACGCTGATACAAACAATTTAGTGATAATAAAAATAGACGCTGATACAAACAATTTAGTGATAATAAAAATTTTGATGCCAGTTTCTGGGTTAATAACTTTTAAACTGTTTAATTATTTTGCATATAAGGACCATATTTCTACATCTTGATCAGGCAACTTTTTTGGTTTTAATCTAACATGCTTTGATAAATTTAATAATCAACGTCTTGCATATTTTTTTAAAAGTAATGGTTGCATTAGTGAAAAAATTAATATAGGGTTTAAATAAACACAAATATTTTTGAAAAAATATTTTTCAAGAAAAATATTTTTAAAAATTAAATTTTTTTTTTTGTAATGATGAAATGAAGAAATAAATTACTTTTTATTGTAATTAAAAAAAAAAAAAGTAGATCAGTGAACAACAATAAAAAATGATATTAAGAAAAAATATTTTAAATGAAGCATTAAATTAAAAAAAAATTTAATATGAAACTAAAAAAAAAAAAAAGCAAAAAAAAAACTCTTTTTTTCAAAAAGTTTTTTTGTTGCTTAATTATTATTAAAATAATTAAAAATAATATAAAAAAAAATTACATTACAAAAACTACAAAAAAAAAGTGAGAAAAATAAAAGATATCAAACTGATCATTAAGTTTTTTTCTTATGTGACCAAAACTTACTTTTGGTCACGTAATTTTTAGAAAAAAAGTACAGAAACTAATATCATAAATTTGAGTAAAAAAAAAAAAAAAAATTAAAATACTATTAAAACTTTTTAATTTTTATTTTCACAGAGAAGAGAATTGAACATTTTTTTAAAATTAGTTTATTTTTGGCATTTACTGAATTAAAAAGTAATTAATTATTAGTTTTTTTTTTAACTTTTGCGTAATTGTTCTTAAAAATACGTTAGGATAATAGAATATGTTTAAGATTTATTTTAACTTTTGGAAAAAAACTTGTTACTGGAAACCCTGCACTATTGATTTTTACCAACATTTTTTTGTATAAAAATCAAAGAATCATTTATGTAGCACTTTGCTATAACTTGACTATAAAGTGAGTTTATTAATTCATTTTATAAATAAGGTACAAAATTAGATTTGAAAAATGACAGAGGAACTTGCCTTATATCATTAGAGTCATCTTGAGAACATGAATTATTTTAGATAAAAAAAACACCCTTTTGAAAAACAATCAGTAACTTAATTAGGCACAAACATTTTATAAGGAGTTTAAATAACAATTATAGTAGAAATTGTAACATGATATTTATTTACAAAGTAACACATTAATTTACAAAACATATAATTAAAATATCAAACATTATATCATATTCAACAAACAAAAAAATTATTGCTTCAAATACTACAGATGTTATAAGTAATAAATTTTTAACAAATTACAACAGAAATTTTTCAAAGGTTATTCAAAGATTATTTTCACCAAAAAAAAAGGTTCAACAAAGAATTCAGCATGAATCTCAAGCATCTAGAACGCTGTAGAACTGTTTGACTGTTTCAACCATCTGTTCAATAAGGAACAAAACCATTTTATTAAATCAATAAAATGCAATTTTACTGTTTCTATTTTCCAATATTAAAATTGCATAATAATTTTGAATTTCAGTACGTCATTCATAGCTAAAGAGACGCTGTCTGAACATGTGTTATGGTTTTAAAATAATTTGAAAATATTTATAACATGCACAATTTAGATAAAATCAGAAAAATCAATATTTTTAGCACAATAACCTCTTTGTCTTAAATCCGATTGCATAGTTTGTAGAACCTTATATAAGGTGTAATTCTTGTAATAAATTTATTCTATGAAGTGAACAGTTGACAAGTGTAGGCCATTACTTTGTTGTTCAGAGACAAACATTTTTAAACTTGATTACAATTTGATTCACAAATTGTAACCTAAGAATGGATGTTAGAAATCTTTTTTTGAACTTTTAAAGAATTGTTCTGAGCAAACTAAGCAATAATAAACCTTTTTAAAAAATGAAGTTTTTTAAATTTCTTTTTACTAAATGTTAACATAAATCATATTGTTAAACAAATATATAGTGTTATTTGAATAAATTTGAAAAAAAGTCATATGAATGACTTTTTTTCAAAATTATTCAAATTCAAACACTCTCACTGAGTCCTCTTCTTTGCGTCTTCTTGGATTATCATTTACAACTGACCTTTCGAGGAAACCATATATACAATTGATTGCTAAATTAGCATCTACTAAGGTTGCTTCTCTTTATCATGCTCGCTATTTTATCTCTCATAATTCGATTTCATTCTCTACCTCTACAAATATTTTATTCATCCCTGTATGGAATACTGTTGTCATATTTGGGTTGGTTCTTCTAATGGTGCTCTTTCTCTTCTAGACAAGGTCCAAAAATACATTGTAAACGTAGTTAGACTGGGTCTATCTGCTAAGCTTGAGCCTCTTTCTCATCATCGTAAAGTTGCATCTCTTTCTCTTTTTTACAAATACTATCGTGGTCGCTGTTCAAATAAGCATCTCTAATTCCATCAACTAAAATTCTTGCTTAACTCATTCTTGACTCATTTCAATATCGCTTGACTCATCATTTATTAAAGTTGCTTGACATCATTCATCAATCTCGCTTGACTCATCATTCATCAAAGTCTCATTTTTTTACTGTATCTGTCCCTGCATGCTCCAAAAACATTTTGTCTAGCGATTTTCCTTGCTCTATAACTCTATTCTTTTTTTCTAGTAACTCCTAACTTAATAGTGGTTGTTTACAGCCTTGTTGGGAGTAAATCAGAATAAAAAAAAAAAAAAAATTTGTATTAAAAATAACACATTAAAAAATTTATTCTAAAAAAAAAAAATTTAAAAATGATACAATAATTTCTGATAAGCTTGATACTTGACACACTGGTAAACCTCTACCATCATCCAAATAGAATTTCACTTCCCCACTCGCCTCATAGAATGTCATGGGTTTAAATTCAAATGACTTTAAATTAAAATTTAATTCAAAAAGCTAAAATATTGTTTATTAAGTTTATTAGTGTAAATATTATTCAATATTAATATTCTCTAGTATATTTTGTAATACAGATTGAAATATTAGAAAATATTAGTGCTGAACAAGAATTTTATATATTCTCTAATAATACTTGCAGACATGACTAAAAATAATATACGCTCAGCAAATTTTTCAACTGTTATAATGGTTTTGACAACAAGTGGCGCGTCTCTTCAAAAATAATATTTGCAAATATGATTAAAAATAGTAAACTTAAACTATTTTTTAGCGAAGTCGTTTAAAATTGTAAAGTCATTCTAATACAATGATTTAAAAAAAAATGTTATAACCATTGTAAAATGATTAATGTAAAATGTCTTAATACCCAAAATTGAACAAGTATTGTACGCAAAAAATTACGAATTTCTAAAAAAGAACTCTTTTTAGTTAACTATAAAAATTTCTAGAGATCAACTAAAAATAACTATTGATTGTATAGACTTTAGATTATTATATTATTTGTAGTAATATAAAACCTATTTAATTTAAAACTTGTTGTTAAACTTAAATTCCTCTTGATTCAGATGAAAGTTTATCTATTTCATTTGATAAATTAACACATTCATTTAGAAAATTTAAAGAAACTAGTTCTTTCAAACGAATTGCTTCTATAAGTTGCTCTTTGCTATTTCCAATGAAGTTGTTTCTAAGAAAAGCTGGTAAACCACCACGTCTGTCGTACATTATGTATAATGGAACTCTTAAAGTGCCCAAAACCTAAATTAAAAAATATTCATTTCTTTTAATAATTTTAAAATATTTTATTCTCATATTTAATTAAACAACATTTTAAAATATATACTTTAAACAGTTATTTGTACATTCTACTGTACCGCCCCATAAAATATAATCAGTGTTTGTGCACTTTTTTTGGAAACTGCAAAAATACTGATTAAGGTTTTCAAATCTGCAAACATAATAAAGATTGAAATATGTAAATCTTATCTTATGTATTTAGAACAAAATAAATATAACATAAACATTTGTTAAAATATAAAATATTTTTTGTATTAAAAAGCATAAATAAACTTTAAAATTTAAATTTAATAGTTCAGTAAACATTAGTCTGCACATAATTCATTTTGAAACAGACCTGTCAATAATTAGTTTACTGAACTATTAAATTTGAATTAAAAAGTTTATTTTCTACTTTTTAATACAAAAAAGATAAAATTTTTTAGCAAAATTTTTTGCAATATTTTATTTTCAACTGAGTTATGATATTTAACAATGCAAATTATTTTATGTAGCATTTATGGCGATTTAATGTTATGTTGCAATGCTATTATTAAACAGTGGTTCAGACAACAAAAAATAGGCAGAACATTTGTGATTAAGTTCCCTAGTAGCAAGCAATATTGGTGCAATATTAGTACAACATTGATGTAATATTAGTATAGTATCTCAAAATTAGCTAAATTTTGTTAACAATATTGCACCAGTACAAAATTTACTCATCTGAATATATATGACCAATATTGATTAACAATATTGGCCGTATATATCCAATATTTAAAGTGCAATATAATGCCAACATATCATTATCATAGTCTATGAAAAAAATATCAAATAAAAAAAAAAGGATCTCTCTGACGGGGAGTTGAACCTGTTAGCTGCAGATTTTAAATAAACAACAACAACAGTTAAAAAACTAAAATTACTTAGAAATAAAACATTAAAATTCTTGAGGGAAATTTGAACCCTTAAAACTGTCAGCAGAGCATTAAAAAAAGTGGTTTATTATTTTTTCTAAAAACCTTTTTCTTTTTGTGTTCAAAATATGCAAATAGTTACATTTTGGTTTGCATATAGTAACATTTTATAATTGTTTTTGAGCATCATAATATTTATTAAGAGTTTACTAAACGCAAGAGATTGCTAAACGCATAAAACTTTTAGTAGTAAAAATTATGTAGTTATTTTTTATTTAATCTTGTCAAAATATCAATTATATAGCTCTGATATCATTCATCGAGCACTCTTGCTGATATCATTCATCGAGCACTCTTGCTGATATCATTCATCGAGCACTCTTGCTGAATATATGCTCATAGCAAAATTAAACTTTTAAATTATTAACAAGTTATTAAGAGTTTTATGGTATAATAAATTAACGGTTAAAATTTTATCAGCTTGTAAATGCGCAGTTTTTAGGATATAGTTGTTTTAAATTTTTAGTCTTATCATGTCTTACGATTCCTTTACGCCATTTTTATGTTTCAATTTATTGTCTTCTGTAAATACAAAAACATTAAATGGATATAAAACAATTTAAGTCGATTTAATGTTTTTGTATTTACAGGAGACAATAAATAAAGACATAAACTCTAAAATTTTATAAAAATTTTATTTCATAAAATACACATCAAAAATGTTTTTGAATTCCATAAGAAAAATGTCTGCAAAGTGCCAAACCTTTTTTTATTTAAACTAATTTAAACTTTCGTATTGAATTAGTTTAAATAAAAAAAGAACGAATGCAAATCTATGTATAAAAAAAACTAAGTTGCAAGCAGAATAAAAAGTGTTGCGGAAAACTCTCTTAATTTTGTTGGAAATTATCATCAACATTAAATATACAGTTAAACTTGCAAGAAGCAATCATTATCCATTTAAAATATAATCAAAAATTTAGTGAAAAAGAATGAATTAATCTGATGCCAAAAGAACTCATTACTGCATTATGAACCTAAAAAATACAGTTAAATGGCCTAAGATAATTTAGTGTAATGCCTATGTAATGTAAAAATCAATACTAGCAGTTTAATATTTTTTACGGCTTTTATAGAAAAGAAATACGGTATCAATCACGAGTTGCTCAATAGAAGTAGTTTTAATAATGGTTTTTAAAGCCTTTAATTTGGAATTTAAAAATAAAGCTTTTAATTTGGAATTTAAAATATAATCAAAAATTTAGTGATTTGAATATTATGTGCTATCTTGTGAAAAGGTGGGATAAAAGTTATTAGGTAGTTAAAATAAAAAGTAGTAACTTAGAACATGGGAGGTACATAACATAGCTACATAATTTTTTTTTTATTATTCATTAAAAATATCTTGTTTTGAACTAAATAATCAAAAGTTTTTTTTAAGATGCTATAATAATGGTCAGTGCAAGTCTGGCAGAAACAAAAGATGCATGATTACTTCGCTAAGCTGTTGAGCCAAGAAATAATGAACGAAATGCAACTAACCATATGTGTAATTTAGGTTAATTAGTGAAGCAGAATTCATTGAATGGTTTATGAACTTAGCACTAACTCTAACTAGCGCTAAAAAGTGTAATTATACAATTAGTTGTGAAACTAAAAGCTGCTCATACATAAAATTGACTTTAAAGTGTTCAGATCTATGTAACTGAAAAAAGTGAAAGAACACTAATTCTGCTGCTGACGGCGATGTTTAGGATGATTTTGTTTATGATTTTGACAAATATGAAGAAAGGCTTATTAAAAGTACTTGTATTGCAATAAATCACGTTCTTCTAAATAATAGTTTTTAGATTTAGAAATAAATAAAAATGCTTTTTAATGAGAATCAGATTGTAAAAAACTGTTTTACTGTCTAAATTGATTACAAATTGATTAAGTCAATATTTTTTAAACAATAACAAAACTCTAATGCGATACCTTCGTTAATGCTTGGAAAAAAATTTTTTTTTTGTCTTCAAACCGTTAGAAATTAAAAATCTAATTACATTATAAAGAAAAAAAAAAATTTTTTTCATAGTAAATACAAAAAATAGAAAAAAAATTGATAGATCTTTTAGATGGTTTTTTGAAGCTCAATAAGTCAAGAACTGCGGGGTTTTAAATTGATAAACTTTTATTTTAGAATCTTCACAACCTAAAACGCTCATTTACATTGAAACTTTTTCAATCTCACGACTGCACCACGAAAGTTAACTTCGAAGCATCTTTTTATAATATGGCCCGTGTTCTATTAACTCAATTGTGGCAAAGTCACCACAATCATTAAGCTATAAATTCTGCAAAATAATCATGTACCTGCAATAGCAAAAAACAGCTGGATTCACTCTAAGAAATATAAGCAACAAAATTAAGTTTCAGTGTTACTAAAGAGATATTTACAAAACTCCAATTTAAAAATATCACAAAAAGGTGATGGTTTCAAATTTTCATTAAAGTCGGTAATAATTCAATAAGTCAAAAATATAATCAAACAAAATTTAAACAAAGTATTGGATAGAATGAGTATTGAACCATTGGATGAAGAAGTTGCTGAAGAAGCAAATAACAACATGAAGACACAACTGCAACAATACCGAGGAAAAGATTTTGTTCCGAACCAAGATTAGTAATTCTTATGCATTTTCAGAGACACTAGTTAAAGCTATTTGAAGCAAGTGGAGTCTGAACATAAAATTTAAATGATTGATCTCAAAATAATTCAGCTTATGTCAGCACCCAGGGAAAGGGTGTTTTCTATTGATGGTAAAAGGCTATCAATTTTCTATCTTATAGCTTGGTAATGTATTTAACTAATGTATTCTAATTTTCAAATCTGACTGAGTTTTAAATGTTAAATGCATAGGTATTTTTAAAATACTATGTTTTAGAAAATTAAAATTTGATTTAACAATGATAAAAAATTATTAATACCTAAAAATAAATTAAAAAAAAAATTAAAAATTGATTTGATAACTCTATATTTTTTAAATACTGTAAAATTAAATAAATTATTTACTGAAACTAAAACAGTTATCTGAAATAGTTTTCTTATGTTTCGGTTGAATGATTAAGATTTTCTAACTAATACCATATAAGTAAGGAAGATCAGGACTAGTTGCAACAGAAGTTGCAGCACCTAAAGGATGTATTTATTATTACAACTCAAAAAAGTTATTATTACAACTCAAAAAAAAAAAAAAAAATTAAAGTAATAAAAATAAAAACTGAAAATGTTAGTTACAACTTTTTATTATTACTTATTTTGTTATTTATTATTACTAAAATTTTGCATTAAACACAAGTTTTACTAATAAAATTTGCATTATCAATTTTTTTTTTGGTTTTATCTAAAATTAACGAGAAGTAAAAAAATCTTTTTCAAACACAAAAAGCCAAAAAATTTTGAATTATTTATATAGTTATATATGGATCATTCTGTGTCAAATAACCTAAAAAAAAACTTTTTAGCACCATGCCATCTCAGATTTTGACGGTTTTTGAAATACAACTTAAATTAATAAAAGAAAACTTCACTCTAAATTTTAATTTCTGACTTATGGTTTCAGAGATATCAATACTCAGCCCCAAACTCTTTTTTCAGTTCCATTTATTTTTTAAGCTAATTGCATAACACAAATAGCTTTAACTTAGGAAATACTTCTTCAATAGTAGTGAAATTTTGTACCTAACTGTATTTTAGCTGTATTTTAGGGAGAGGAACTCGAAAATAATGGTTAAAACACTAAAAAATTAAAGATTTTATATGAAAATTTAATTCATATAGAATTAAATTTTCAAAAATTGTAAAACTTTTTGTAAATATTGCACAAAATTGTGTAACACTTTTTGTAAGTTTTTTTAAGAAAATCGTATAAAAACAAGAAAATTGTATAAAATAAAGATCTTTAATGTAAAATGCAAACAAGCTATATATTAGAATTGTATCCGAGATTCTTTTTCTTAATTTTTTTTATAACACTTGCAAATAAATCAGATTCAAAAAAGAAAACCCTTGCAGTTACACATGTTGGTCTTGATACTTTTATTTTGTTGAAATGTTTTTCATCTAGATCAGCTCAGGTGTAAGTTTGCAAACTTTATACCCATTCCTTATTGAAAGTCTACAAACCTGTTCAAGTGTTTGAATCTATAATTGGTGATAAAATTTTGTATTTTTCTTGAAGCTTAGCTGTAATTATGAAATGTTTGTTACATAAGAGAGATGTCCTTACATTCTTTAATAAATGTGGTACATCCGCTAAAAAATCAATAGTACAAGTTGGGTCACACAGGTGTTTAATTGAACTGGAAATATTACCATTTTTAGTACAGCTAATATTAAAAGATCTTCACATTGCTTGGTTGATGTCACTCTTATCAGAAGTAGCACTATTAATTTTTAATCCTTCAATATTTATTATATTTAAAATTTATTATAGTTAAAATAATATTTTTTTAAAACATCACCATTAACAGATCTTGAAGTATAATAGTATGCTACAGTTTGTTTCCATCTTGTAGATATTCCTCCAAGCATAAAAACTAAAGCGTAGTTAGCTAGGCCATAATGTTCAGGTCATATAACAACTCCATAACATGAACTTGTAGATGTATCATCGTCAACACTTTCGTTGACATTTCATCAAGAATTAGAGCACATTCTTTTTCTTAAATTTTTATAAAATTCACTTTGGTTTTCATAAACTTAAGGACTTCTGTTAAAATACCACTTTAGAACTTTAGATTTTCTAATCTTCGCCGTAGGGTAGGTTAATGATAAGGCCACATGATTAAGGTTTTTTTCAAGTTGGTTTTAAAAATAAAACCAACAATTCGTTTTTTTTCGGTTCAACTAAAGCTTTTTTTAAACTTTGGCTTAAAACAAAACAAAGTTTTAGAGTTCATTTATTTAATAAATTTAGAATTACAGATTTTAAAAAATACCAAAGAAAACTAAAAATTAA